TTTCTGACGCAAATCCAACACACACACGTCGACGTTTAACTGCTTCAAATAGACAATTAAAACCAAAACACTTTTAAATGTGACTTGTTGCTGCACTTCTGCCTCTGGAGCTCAAATCGACGGCGTTTAAACTCTAACAGCGTTTGGAGCTGATTTGGACGGGACACCGGACTCACAGCTGAACAGACTGAAGCATTTTGACTTCAGAGTTTGAGCTCACGCCCAAAAACTCAAAGGTTTGTGTTTCTCTTCCTGCTCTGATCTGTGCACGTTATTGGTCATTGTTGCGGCTCTAGAAAAGCCGGACTGTAACTGTTTTTCTAACAATCACAAACACTTCTGCTGATCATTTTCTCTTGTCTCGTTTCTTCCAGACGCTCAGGTTCAGACGTATTTGGAAATGGGAAACTTTTCGCCTCAAATGAAGGATTATTCCGAGATTTTGGGCGAAGACTTTAACTGCACCGTAAAAAACGAGTCCGAGGAGCAAAGTGAGGAAGAGGAGGAGGAGTGGGCTCAGGCCAACAGCTCCGCTCAACCTCCACACGACGGAAACCACTACAGCCACGTGCAGACAGAGGGCGCAGCTGGGCTTTTTCCCTCCTTTAAATTCGGAGACTTTTCAATGAACAAAAGCCCGACCGCGACGTCCAGCGACTTCTGCGCCGTGGAAGACGACGGGATAAAACACCAGTGTCATTTTTGTGAAAAGAAATTCCGAGACAAACACAACCTGAAGCGTCACATCACGGTGCACACGGGGGAAAAACCTTTCAGCTGTACAGTTTGCGGCCGCTGTTTCTCTCAGAAGGAAACCCTACGGCAGCACATGGGCCTCCACAGCCGCTCCAAGACCGAGCCGAGGATCAGGCGGGGCGGCTCTCCGCGGACGGCTCCGGCGGCCCAGGACCCGGCGGCGAGTCCGTCCAAGAGCGCCCCCTTCAGCTGCCCCGTGTGCGCGCGCTGCTTCACCCGGCCCTTCTCCCTGCAGTCGCACATGGTCACGCACACGGGGGAGAAGCCCTTCCTGTGTTTACAGTGTAACATGAGGTTTAACCGCAAATCCAACTTAAAACGACACGCAAAAACCCACGCGCCCAAATGAGAACGAAGCCGAGGAAATGTTTTAGCAAAATGTTTTTAAGCTGAAAAAAAAAAACGGAACGTCAGACTCTGTGATTCTGTGAGGCTGTGCCACGTTTACATGAGAGATTTAACTCTGAATCAAAATGAATTCCGTTTTTAAAAGTCCATTTAAACACTTGAAATTAAAATGATTCGGAATTCAACTTGATTCTGAAATAAGTGTTTGGTTTATTCAGATTTTAAAGCTGAGTGAATTTGGTTCCTGGATCATGTTTGTCATTTCTTCTTGTTAAAATAATGTTGGTGCTTCATGTTCGTCGTGTCGTCCTTCGATCCGGCTCCACCAGTCGTGTCTCGGGACTTTGCTCCACGTCTCTTTGGGTTTGTGAGCGGGATGTGGGAGTGGGCTGAGCGTTTGTCTTCTTCCTCCTTCTCCGACACTCTTCCCTCCTCCTCCTCAGCTCACAGACGGAAAGTGTGATGAGACAATTCTCCAGCAGCTGCTTCGCAATTCTCAAAAAGTTTATCGAAAAGTTTGGATGGTGTTTGTGTCCGTGGAGGAACGACAAACCCAGACGACAGAAAAGTCGGGAGCAGCTCAAGTGTGTGTTCAATCTGTGTGTCGTTCGTTCAATCGTTTTTCAATATAAAACCAAAAATAAGAAAATGAAAAAACAACTATTTTCTTCATTATTTGTCTCCAAAACCAAAATGAAAAAACAGATAATGATTTGTTTTTTCAGTTTTCGATTTTGTGTTTAAATGAAAAATGGAAAAAAGGGATAACGACCGTTTCCCCTTTATGTGACTTCCGTGAGTGCAATGTCGGACTGAACCAGGACTGATCCAGGTCTGGGACCAGACTGGAACCAGACCGAGACTGAGATCAGAACCAGGGACCAGGCTGGGACCAGATTGGAGGCTCAGAGCCCACAGCAGGGCCGGCGCTCGAAGCTGAGGCTCGGACCCCACGGAGGCTCAGAGTCAACGCTTGGAGTCTGCTCTGGTCCTGCTCTGGTCCTGCTCTGGTCCCGCTCTGGTCCCGTTCTGGTCCCGGTCTGGTCCTGCTCTGGTCCTGCTCTGGTCTCGTTCTGGTCCCGTTCTGGTCCCGGTCTGGTCCCGGACCTGGATCAGTCCTGGTTCAGTCCTGGTTCAGATCGACATCGCACTCACGGAAGTCACATAAATGGGAAACGTCCGTTATCCGTTTTTTCCATTTTTCATTTAAACACAAAATCGAAAACTGAAAAAATTAATCATTATCTGTTTTTTTCATTTTGGTTTTGGAGACAAATTTGACAATTGTTTTTTCGTTTTCTTATTTTTGGTTTTATATTGAAAAACGAACGAACGAACGAATGATACACGAATTGTGTTTTTTCTTCCCAAAGACGTAAATCCGTTGGCGTCTCTGTCCAATCAGAACCTTCCCCAGACGCTCACACACATGAAGTAAAAAACAGTTCATCAGTTTAACACCAAACAACAATTCAACTTTATTATTTATATGGAAACTACAAGGAGAAGATCTGAATTCCAAACTATCCATCCATTTTCTTCTTCTTCTCTGGGGTCGGGTCTCGGGGGCATCAGTCTGAGCAGGGACTCCCACACTTCCTTCACCCCAGACACTTCCTCCAGCTCCTCCAGAGGAACCCCATTACCAAACTACTTAATTCAGAATTTAAAAACATCATGTAAACGTGGCCAGAGTGTGTGAGACTTTGTGTGTGTGAGACTTTGTGTGTGTGAGACTTTGTGTGTGTGAGACTTTGTGTGTGTGAGACTTTGTGTGTGACTTTGTGTGTGTGAGACTTTGTGTGTGTGAGACTTTGTGTGTGTGAGACTCTGTGTGTGTGTTTGAGTTTGTGTGTTTGAGACTTTGTGTGTGTGTGTTTGTGTGTGTTTGTGAGTGTGTGTGTTTTTATTTGGGGTTCGTTTTGGATCACACTGGAGTGAAACCGTTTTCATGAGTTGTGTGTTTTTGTTTAGGAACTTAAACTCTTCTCATTTGAACGATTTAAACTCCGACCTGTTTTCTGGTCTGAGCTCTGAAACCGGACTGGATCTGGTCAGGATCTGGACTCTGCCCCGGGGCGGCTGTGGCTCCAACAGTGTGAGTGTGGAGAATATCTGACTATTTGTATTTTTATAACGATGTAATAAAGGGTCAGGACTGGATCATCAGAGGTTTGTTCACACTCCGGTATCGACAGAACTCCTGTTTCTAATGGAAATAAAACACTCGTGCAGCTAAAGCGACGACTCTGTCACACAGACACACAAACCGACGCACAAAACTGTTTTTTTGAGAACTTTTTTTTGTTCTTTTCTTAAAAACTTTGAACTTAAACCTGAGGGTGAATATTGTTACTGCCACAAAATAAAAGTACTAGACTAACATAGACTAGAGTGACCAGACCAGACCCTGTTTCCCCAGGACAGTCCCAGTTTTGAGTCTGTGTCCCCTGTCCCAACAGATTTATACAAAACCACTGATTTGTCCAACTTTTATACAAAAAAATGTCCCAGTGTCTTTGTTTTTTACAATTCTGATCCCTGTCAACACTAAAAAGAGAAACATAAACTGACATTTGTTTGGGTAAAATACAGAAAAGCTGCTTAAAAATGACCAAAACCTAAAGAAAATGTGACTATACTGACTCATGTTTGTCATAAATGAGCCGAATGCAAAACTGTTTTACTTAATTTCACACTCAATTCAAAATTTTATTTTTTACCAACGACCATAAACTGAGATTGTCCCAGTTTTTTATTTTGAAAGTCTGGTCACTCTACTATAGACGGTCTGTATTTCCTTTACTCACTCTGTGGTATTGGCTCTGGTTCAGTTCGGGGTCATTTCTGTTTCTTTTTTTTCTACACGATGTCGGTTGTTTTAGCTGTAAAATAAACGTAGAGTTTTGTAATAACAAAAGGTCTCAATGCAAACGTGTTTATTACAAATGTTCATTTACATTTTCTGTGGGTGACTCCATGGTGCAGCGGGTCGAGCACTCGCCTCACAACGAGAAGGTCCCAGGTTTGGTTCCTGGCTCGTGTGTTGCCTTTGTGTGTGCAGTTTGCCAAGACTTTCCTGTAGAGAGAGACTCTGAGTAGCTGTAGGCATTTATTTAAAAAAAGTCAAATGAAATAAAATTATATAAAAAAAATTATTGGGCTCAGTTAATCACGTTTTATTTTTTGTTTTTGTTTATTATTCAGAACACATAAATACAGTTAATAAAATATTTTAATTTTAATTTTACGACTATACTCGATACTGAATGGCTCCCTTCCCACTGTGAGCGTGATTGACAGCTGCGGCGGCCAATCACACGCGCGTTCTCTGTCCCGAGGGCGGAAGCGTGCGCGTGCGGCTGCTCCATTGAATCCTCCGTTAGCTCCGCGGGCTAAAGGCTAAAAGCTAACGCCGCCGAACCGAACCGAGCCGAACCGAACCGGACCGGGCCGAACATGTCCAAGAAGAGCGAGTATCTGCGCGCGCTGGTGACGGAGCGGCTGAGCGCGGCTGCGGAGGAGATCTTTGCTCTGGTGGAGACGACAATAGCGGAATATGAAGAAGAACTGCGCCGGTCCAAAGAGGAGAACCAGCGGAACCTGCAGCTCCTGGACTCGGTTCGGAACGCGCAGGCCGAACTGCAGAAGCCAGGTGGGTGCACGGAGGAGGGATCTGGGCCGGACCCGAGGGACCAGAGGCGCTTTTCTGGAGGGTTTTTGTTTTTTGTTTTTGTTTTTGTTTGTGGAGAAAGGCCCGGACCGAGCGGAACCAGAACATGGCGCCGGGTTTGGGCCGATACCAAAAAAACAAAACAAAAAAACAACACAAATGAGACACGTTTACACTGAACAGAAGTCCCAGTTGGACCGGGACAGAACCAAGAAATGTCCCAGGTGTCCAATAAGATCTAAACCAGGATAGAACCAGGACTGAACCAGGACTACACCAGGACTACACCAGGACTACATCAGGACTACACCAGGACTACATCAGGACTACACCAGGACTACACCAGGACTACATCAGGACTAAACTGAGACTAAACCATGTCTAAACCGGGACTAAACCGGGTCTAAACCGGGTCTAAACCAGGACTACATTAGGTCTAAACTAGGACTAAACCAGGTTTACATCAGGACTTAACCAGGACTAAAACAGGACTAAACCAGGTCTAAACCAGGACTACCTCAGGTCTAAGACAGGACTATACCAGGTCTAAACTAGAGCCCGACCGATATGGATTTTGCTGTGGCCGATATGAAACCGATATAATGGCAGTTGGAGCTGCCGATATAATCGCCAATATATTTAGTGATGTAAAAATTCACTGTAAATGTTGAATTGTTTAAAAAACTTAGGTTTGGCTCTGGTGGATTTTAAATTGGGTTTATTTAGGCAACATTTATTGTTATTCTGCCTCTTTACATCATATTTACAGACAGTAGGTTGGTTTAATGGCATTTTTGCATCACATTCTAGACACTAGTGATGTTTATTCCAGTTCTTTTTGGAGAACCGGCTCTTTTGGCTCGGCTCACTAAAAGCTGCTGGTTCTTTTGTCTCCCAAGTGGCTCTTCAGATTGTTTTGTTGCAAGCAGGACTAAAGCACGTCTAAAGCAGGACTGAATCAGGACTGAACCAGGTCTAAACCAGGACTGAAAAAGGACTAAACCGGGACTTATTTATTTTATGCTAAACTACAGTCAAATATGCTCGGTTTTTTTTATTTTTATTTTTTTTAATCCTACGTACACGCAAATTTCTCAAAGTTTCGTTTTTAGCCGCTGCCGCTGTCAAACCACGAATCACGCGGCGTGAAGAGAAAAAAAGTGAGAGAAACGAGAAAACATGGCTCCCAATAAGGATCAGGCTCCCGTCGTTCCATTCAAAGAGCCGGTTCTAAGAGTCATTTCGTTCACGACGGACCCATAACTAGTAAAGAAAGTAGCGCTATTAGCCTTTAGCCGTAAATACGTGTAAAAATAAATGTCATAATTCACACGTCTGTTCACAGCTCATTTACATATCAGTGCAGGTCCAGTAGGAAATATACGGCCAATATAGTCACTTTAGAACAGACCAATAGAAAACAGTCTGTTTATGTGCGGGAGCTACAGCAGCTAACCCATAACAAATGACCAAAACTAGCTTCAGAGTCGACATATTTCCAACACTCACCGCTCACACAGGCTCCTCCCACATCACAAATCTGCACTAATAAATGTCCTTTTAATCCAGACTCAAACCGATTGTCCGTAAAAAGAAAATAATGTCAGTGTTTGGATCTGTGTCTGCAGATGTAAACAAACACACGTGAGTGACGCGACTCTGTGGTGTGTTCAGGGACAGTACGGACGCACGCACAAATGACTCCGTAGATAAATACTGATGTGGAGCCACATATTAGGACATTTATCTGTCTGTAAATTGGATTAAATGAACAGAATGTAGAGAGTCTAAGCTTTATAACGAGGTATAACATGCCCACGTGAAATATCGGCCCCTATCAGCAAGCATATCGGCCGATAGCCGATATGCCTAAAGTCGCCCATATCAGCCGATAATATCGGCCAACCGATATATCGGTCGGGCTCTAGTCTAAACTAAGACTAAACCAGGACTGTCACATTTTTTTTAATAATCCGATCCTCGCTAACAGTTAAGAGAAACATAAATTGTTTTAAATTTAAATAAATTTGTTTTTTTGTTTTTTTTGCCAAACTACAGAAAATTTACAAAAAATTTATTTATACCAACCATCCAAACCTCAGTGTGTCCCGTTTTTTTATTTTGATCATCTGGTTATTTTAAACAGTTAAAGTCGCTGCTGTAAAACGTCATAAACAAACGTCAGAGCTGCACCTGTGTCTCTGTCCCACAGATTTATACAAAAACACTGATTTGTCCCACAGTTTTATACAAGAAATGTCCCAGTGTCTCTATTTTTGACCAAACTTGATCCTGCAGCAGTAAAGAGAAACATAAACTGACTTTTGTTTTGGTAAAATACAGAAAATCTGCTTAAAAATTACAAAATATAAAGAAAATGTGACGATACTGACTCATGTTAACGCAAAGTGCAGAACAATTTTCCTTAATTTCTCACTTGTTTCACAATTTTATTATCACCAACCTCCACAAACCAGAAATGTCACAGTTTTTATTTTGAAAATCTGGTCCCTCAAACCCCGTTACACCGACACCAGACGAGTGCGGCAGATTTTCACTGTTTTTATCTTGTAATTTTAATTAAATTTAACACATTTTGTCACATTTGCTTCTGTATTACACAAAATGGACTAAACCAGGACTAAACCAGGAATGAACCAGGACTAAACCAGGACTACGTCAGCTCTAAACCAGGACTAAACCAGGTCTAAACCAGGACTGAACCAGGACTGAACCAGGACTGAACCAGGACTGAACCAGGACTAAACCAGGACTAAACCAGGACTATCAAATTTTAAAAAAATAATCTGATCCCTGCCACAGTAAATAGAGACATAAACTGTCATTTATTTTGATAAAATACAAAAAATCTGCTTAAAAACACAAAGAAAATGTGACTAAACTGACTCATGTTCGGGCCGAGTGCAGAACAGTTTTTCTTTAATTTCTCACTCGAGTCACAGTTTTATTATCACCAACCTCCACAAACCAGAAATGTCCCAGTTTTTATTTTGAAAATCTGGTCCCTCAAACCCCGTTACACCGACACCAGACGAGTGTTCATGTGCCGCAGATTTTCACTGTTTTTATCTTGTAATTTTAATTAAATTTAACACATTTTGTCCCTTTTGCTTCTGAATTTTGCAAAACTGACTCTTGTCAGCTTTAAGTCGTGTTCTAATGTTGTTCCCTCCTCAAAAACAAACCTGGAGTTGTGTTTTTTGTGTTTGAGTAACTCTTTATTATTCGTCTGTCTACATCTCCAAAGCTCCAGACGGTCTGCTCCACCTTGTGATGTCATCAAGTGGTAGTTTTCAAGTGAACGTTTTGAGCTGCTTTTCCCTTTAGTTCATTCGAGATCGAAAGACAGAAATTCCACTTTGGCTGAAATGATCCAAACGATTCTAGTGAAGGTGTGTGGAGTTTAAAAACACAGCGGAGCGCTTCCTGTATCACCACTCGATGACATCACGAGGTGGAACAGAAGAGCTCGTGGTAAAAGTGCAGGTTTGTGTGTTCCGTTTGTTCTTTTGAATTTCAATAAAACATGTTAAGAGTTGTATTTTTGGTTTTTGACGTGTTTTTGACCAATAAAATACTGTGAGTACTGCGGAACATTCCAGGTAAAACGATATGTCTCCATGGAAACAAGCACACGGCGACGCTATCACCACGAAAGTTACACAGCGCGGCTTTAAACGTTGATTAGAAGGAAACACGCTGAAGAAAAAAAAAATGCATCGTGCGACTCCGTCAAACGCTTTTCTCCATGGAGATGTTGTTGCTTTTTTGTCTGGAATGTTCCGCAGTGTGGCATTAAAACTTTCTATCTTCACGGAGACCAAACCAGGTCCGAGGTACAGGTCAGATCTGTGGAGAGGCGACCCCGCTCACAGTCAGAACGTCTGTTTTTCTAGGGATTTTTGAGCTCTAAAACCACTTGTGATGGAATAAATGTAAAGTAGAGCTGTTTAATAAAGTCACACTGCGGAACATTCCAGGCAGAGCGATGACGTATCCATAGAAACAAGCAGGTGACGGACCCTCAACCCGAAAAGTTACACAGTGCACCTTTAATAATGCTTAAAATTTGGGCAGAAATGAGACAAAGTGACAGTTTTTCAGTTCGTTCCTCTTCCTCAAATCCTTCAAACTCTTCGTCTTCAGGGTTTGAGTTTTGGGCGATTTCGGCGTCGAGCCCGAATCCTCGAGTCATTGTCCGAGTCTCGACGCTGTTACTGAGCTGTTAAGTGATGATTCTGGCCCTGGACCTGGTTTAGACCTGGTTTAATCTGGTTTGAACCACGTTTAGACCACTTTTGGACCTGGTTTGGACATGGTTTACACCACATTTGTACCTGGTCTAGACCATGTTTAGACCATGTTTAATCCCGGTTTAATCCTGGTTTGGACCTGGTTTAGACGAAGTTTGGACTTGGTTTAGACCTTTTTTTTTAACCTGGTTTAGACCACATTTAGACCTGGTTTCTTCCAGGTTTGGACTTGGTTTGAACTGGGTTTAGACCACTTTTGGACCTGGTTTAGACCTGGTTTGGACCTGGTTTGGACCTGGTTTGGACCTGGTTTGGACCTGGTTTGGACCTGGTTCCTGAGTCCAGACGTTCTCGATCCTTCAGCAGGTCGTGGTGGAACTCGTTCAGCGTCTTTTTTGTCTTGGTGAAAGTGTTTTACTCCTCGAGGCTCCAGACTACAGGAGCCGTCAGGGCTGTGCAAAAATATTGAAATATCGATATATCGTATGGTTTCATGTGATGATAAGAGTATCGATATCGTGGGCTGCTGTATCGAAGAGTATTTTTCTGTATATTTTACTAAATTATTTTGTTCCAGTGACAGTTTTGTTGTTTGTTCAGTGGAAGGAAACAAGTTTATGTGACGCTGTTTTGACAATTAAAATGTTTGTGTTTCATTTGAACTTTAAACAAGAAGTGGTTTAACAAAAACTTTTAGTATCACAGCAAAAATGTAGGGTTTATTTTTTATTGAACTGTATTGAATAGATTTGAAATATATCGTATTGAATCGTATTGAAATGAAAATCTCACTGTGTCATATCGGGAACTTCTGAATGATCCCCAGTTGTAGTCGCCGTAATGAGCCGAGAGTCCATCAAGACGAGCCAAAGTTGTACTAAAACATTTTGACAGATTTAAACATAAAATCGGTTTGAGGTCAGTAAACACAACCAGAATTAATACATAAGGCGCACTGTCGATTTTTGAGAAAATGAAAGGATTTTAAGTGCGTTTATAGTCTGAAAAATACGGTAATTCAGAATTAAAAACCTCATGTAAACGTGGCCAGTGTCACATGAAGCTTTTGTCGTTTTAGACTCCCTCACAGCGGGAAGAGGAAGCACTTTTCCTCTTACAGCGTCTGAAAAGTGCAGGTTTATTTCAAATATTTCCCCACTGTGGGACAAATAAAGGTTTCTTGTCTTATTTTGCAGATGTGGCGGCTCCTCTCTCGTGTTCGGATCAGAGGAGCTCAGGTTTGTCGGGAGCGTCCGCGCAGAAGCAGCGCGCGGTCAAAAGCGAACGCGACGCTCCCGAAGAGACGGGGGAAAACTGCGACGACTGGACCGCGCCCTCCGCCGGACCCTCCGAGATCCGGGACCAGAAAGCGGATCCCGACGGACAGAGCGAGGAACAGAGCGACGAGCAGAGCGAAGAGCAGATGGAGGAAGAGCAGACGGCGGCTCCGGAGCCTCACCAGTGCTGCATCTGCGACCAGATGTTTGTGGATCCTCAGAGTCTGAAGCGGCACATGGACCTGCACATGGAGGAGGTGGAGCTGCTGAGCCGCACCCGAGCGGCGGCGGCGGAGGAGGAGGACGAGGAGGAGGAGGACGAGGAGGACACGTGTAAGCGGCGAGCGCCTCAGCCTCGGCCGCACGCGCTCAGCAGGACCGTGGCGTCTTTCGGCGGCTCACCGTTCAGCTGCCCGTTCTGCAAGAGGGACTTTGCCCGGAAGTCGGACCTGCAGTACCACATCCTGATCCACACGGGGGAGAAGCCCTTTTCCTGCTCCCAGTGCAACCGCAGATTCAACCGCAAGTCAAACCTGTACCGGCACTACAGGAACCACGCCAAGAAAAAAATCCTCTGAGTCCGAGTCTGGAAAAAAAAACAAAAAAAACCCCAAATGGATCTCCGTCCGTTGGTTTGGACTCATCTGTGTCTGACTTTTCTGCTCTGATTTTTGTCACAGTCTCGTCTTTTCTTTTCACTTCGTTTATGTCAAAAACTCACTCCTAAACTCGTTAAACGGGAGCTTTTCTGCTTGTTTCCATGGAGACGTCACTGCTCTGTCCGGAATGTTCTGCAGTGTGACTTTATTAAACAGCTCAACCTTAGATTTGTTCAGTTACACGTGTTTTATAACTCAAAAATACCGAGAAAAACAGACAAAAAAGACTTGGAAAAAGCAATAAACCAGGACTAAACCAAGGTCTAAACTAAGACTAAACCAGGACTTAATCAGGTCTAAAGCAGGTCTAAACCAAGGACTAAACTGAGGACTAAACTAGGTCTAAATCAGGTCTAAATCAGGACTAAACCAAGGACTAAACCAAAATTAAATCAGGTCTAAACAAGGACTAAACCAGGTCTAAACCAAGGACTAAACCAGGTCTAAACCAAGGACTAAACCAGGTCTAAACTAGGTCTAAACCAGGACTAAACCAGGACTAAACCAGGTCTAAACCAGGTCTAAACCAGGTCTAAACCAGGACTAAACCAGGACTAAACCAGGTCTAAACCAGGTCTAAACCAGGTCTAAACCAGGTCTAAACCAGGTCTAAATGAGGTCTAAACGAGGTCTAAACGAGGTCTAAATGAGGTCTAAACGAGGTCTAAACCAGGTCTAAACCAGGTCTAAACGAGGTCTAAACCAGGTCTAAACCAGGACTAAACCAGGTCTAAACCAGGACTAAACCAGGTCTAAACCAGGTCTAAACCAGGACTAAACCAGGACTAAACTTCAAAAATCCTTATAAAAACAGACCTTCTGACTGTGAGTGGAGTCGCCTCTCCACAGATCTGTCCTGTAACTCGGTCCTGGTTTGGTCTCCACGCAGATTAAAAGTTTTAAAGCACAGTTTTACTGCGGAACATTCCAGACAAAAAAGCACTAACCTCTCCATGAAGAAAAGCCTTTGACGGAGCCTCCAAAAGAAAAGTTACACATTGCAGCTTTAAATACTCGAGCTGTTGTCGATTTAAAAACCCAAACGTCTCCACAGCAGCAGGGGGCGCTCTTCTAAAACTACTATTTACTTAAAACTTCAACTAAATCACGAGTTTAATCTAAATTTTTACAGAGAAACACACACAACCCCCCCAAAAAAAACAAACAAATCTTCATCTTCCGTCTTTCTTCTTCTTCTGCCTTTGTCCCAGAGACATTTTTAATCGAATAAAACTCATTTTAATCGACTAAAAACCTACAGCCCCAAAAATCCTGGAGGAAATAGAATCCTGACTGTTTTATTTTTTGGTCAAAGTTTCACTGTGGAACTTTTCTGGCTTTTCTCCTTGTCTGTTTTGTCTTGAATATTCCTCAGTGTTGGGGCTGTGCAAAAATATTGAAATATTGAAAACTCGTATCGTTTAATTTGACGATACCGTACGGTTATCGTGGGCTGCTGTGTTTTAAGGTACATTTTACTGAATATTTTGTGTTGGAACGATATTTATGTTGATATTTTCACCGTTTTGTTGAGTAAAATCTGTGTTTTTCATGTTAACTTTGCACAAACTCAGTGGATTTTTTCGACTTTTAGTGTCGCAGCCTGGATTTATCTTTTATTTTTCACTGAATTGTATCAAATCGATTTGAAATGCAGCGTGACCCAAAAAACGTGACATCAGTTTAAAAGCAATTCTCTCGAAAACTAGCTCAATCGCCGAGTCCTTCCTCTGTACATTTTTGGTACCAAGTCCAGATTTGTTTACCAGATGGTGAAGTTTTTTCCAAATTTTGCATTGAAGGAATGAATTGAAGGAACTGAATTTTGATCACGATTTCGATTTGTGCGTCAAACGAAATCATGATCACTCCAAACTCAAAATCAACTTGAAACGATTTAAGCTTAACAGAGTTTATTTTGGGATATTTTTTTACAAATATAATTTTAGAGATTGTAGTAGAGCAGAATCTAGAGTTTATTTTGGTACATTTGTTTTTCTGTGTCTTATTTCATATTCAATGTTTATTTTATACATTTTTTGTTTTATATTTTGCATTTTGTGTCTTGAAATCTTCTGCACAAACTAAACCTAAGACTGAACGGTCGAGCGGCTCGATTACGGAAAAAAAATCATCATTACGATTATTTTGGTCAATATTGAATCACAATTATTCAAATGATTATTTTGTAGTCACACGATGCATTTATTCAACATTTCTCTCTCAAAAAACAAAACACTTTGTTATTGATAATTAACGCAAAAATGTCAAACTTTTAATAAATATCGGCAACAAATCTGAACCTTAGAGCAGATTTGTGATCTATAAAACATAAAATGAATAAAATAAAGTTTCAAGGCAGAAAAACATAAATGTGCCAAAATAAACTCTATATTCTGCTCTTCTACAATCTCTAGATTTAAACAATAAAATAAATGTATGTATTTATATAAAAAATATCCCAAAATAAGCTTTCGGGAGCACAGGTCCTCACTTTCACCGGCTCGTAAATCCTTTCAACTTGATGATATGAGTTTGAAAATCATTTGACACACAAATCGAAATCGCACAGACTCACGAAAGAAACCTCGATACGATATGTTTTTCGATACAGTGAGCTTTCGATTCAATCCAGATTCGATACAATATAGTTCAAATCGAATTGATACGGCTCCGTGAAAAACAAACTAAATCACGGCTCTGACACTAAAAGTCCACTGAGTTTGAACAAAGTTTTTTCCTACTTATTTAGAATTTATAATTTATATTTTTTACTCTTTTTTTATTATATTTCTGGTGATGTGTGACTCCTGTGTCCAAATAATTTCCCTTGTGGATCAGTAAAATTTGTCTCAGTCGCCCATTTTACTCAAAACAGTAAAAATATCAACACAATTGTAGCTTTTAAACAAAATAATTTAGTCAAATGTACCTAAAAATACTGTGTCATCACATTTAAACGACACGATATTTCGATATTTCAAAATTTTTGCACAGCCCCAACAGAGACGAGCTGCTCCAGAAACGTTACGTTGCAAAGATTTTAATTTTTTTTAATGTTCATATGTTCTTGTATTTTAAAACTTTTTTGCAAACTGATCTTACTCTACTGATGTTGGAGATTTACACGTTTGAGATTAGTTTTATCAGAACACGCTGTTTTTACCATGTTTAATTTTAGTTTTTTCAATTCCGTAAACAGTTCTCTAAAGTTGTTTGTTCTAGATTTTTAAGATCAGAAGGAAAATCATTTGTAGAAGTGACATAAACCTGCAAAACCGAATAAATCGTACGTTTTTATCACCGCGTACGTTGTCATTGTTTAGTTTTTTTTACGCCAAAATCTGCGACTTCTTGTTCCTGATTTCACCTTTAAATAATCTGGTGGGTGTGTCCTCTACTCTTCCAGGTGTCCAGCTCCAGACACAAAGTTCGTGTCTGGACGAGGGACGGCGGGATTCTCCTCAAACGCGGGAAAACCCGGAACGCGAGACGGACGCTCCCGAAGAGTCGACGCGAACATGGAAAAGCGAAATGAACGAAGCGTCTGAAAGCGAGAAGAACGAAGACGACGACGGTGAAGAAGAAGAAGACGACGACGACTTGGAACCTTGCAGCAGTTCGGCTCAACGCGTCGAGACGGAAGCGGAAACGGATGGAGAACTTTACGCCCGATCGGAGGAAAACTTGTACGGACAGTTTAACGACGAGCGCGTTTCTGGGAACAACGACTCGACCGAAGAGAAGAAGGACAAGCTCAAGAAACACGAGTGCTACTTTTGTGAGAAGAAATTTAAAGACCGGCACAGTTTGAAGCGTCACACGGTGGTTCATACCGGAGAGAAGCCGTTCCAGTGCCCGGTCTGCGCCAAAAGTTACTCGTACAAAGAGACGCTGATGTCGCACATGGCGCTCCACGGCTGGTGCAAAAAACCCGGCGAGGAGGCGAGCGGCTCCAAGCCCAGCGTCTACACGTGCCCCATCTGCGCCAAGAGCGTGACCACGTCGTTCGCGCTGCGGTCGCATGTCCTCATCCACACCGGGGAAAAGCCGTACAGCTGCCCCGTCTGCGGCAAAACCTTCAGCCAGAAAGTTTACGTCCGGAAGCACATGAGGACGCACACCGGCGAGAGACCTTTCAGCTGTTCGGAGTGCGACATGAGGTTCAGCCGCAAGTCCAACCTGAACCGGCACCTCAAAGTCCACGCGGCGCAGAAGGGCGAATGAGGAAAAAAAAATAGATTTCGACTTCTATTTCCAACTTTTCAATAGTTATTTTCTTCATTATTTGTCTCCAAAACCAAAATAAAAAAACAAATAATGTTTCGTTTTTTCAGTTTCCAATTTTGTGTTTAAATGAAAAATGGAAAAAAAAAAAAAACGGATAATGGACTGAACCAGGACTAAACCAGGTCTGGGACCAGACTGGAGCCAGACCAGGACTGAGACCAGGACCAGATCAGGACTGAAAATGGGTTAGTCTTGTTTTAGTCCTGGTTTAGTCCTGGTTCAGTCATGGTTTAGTCTTGGTTCAGTCCTGGTTTAGTCTTGGTTTAGTCCTGGTTTAGTCCTGGTTTAGTCTTGGTTCAGTCTTGGTTTAGTCCTGGTTTAGTTCTGGTTAAGTCCTGGTTTAGTTCTGGTTCAGTCCTGGTTCAGTCCTGGTTTAGTCCTGGTTTAGTCCTGGTTTAGTCCTGGTTTAGTCTGGTTTAGTCCTGATTTAGTCCTGGTTTAGTCCTGGTTTAGTCTTGGTTTAGTCCTGATTTAGTCCTGGTTTAGTCTTGGTTTAGTCCTGGTTTAGTCGTTGGTTTAGTCCTGGTTTAGTCCTGGTTTAGTCCTGGTTCAGTCCTGGTTTAGTCCTGGTTTAGTCCTGGTTTAGTCCTGGTTTAGTCCTGGTTTAGTCCTGGTTTAGTCCTGGTTCAGTCCTGGTTCAGTCCTGGTTTAGTCCTGGTTTAGTCCTGGTTTAGTCTGTAGCAGCAAAACCAGACAGAAAGTTTACGTCTGGAAGCACATGAGGACGCACACCGGCGAGAGACCTTTCAGCTGTTCGGAGTGCGACATGAGGTTCAGCCGCAAGTCCAACCTGAACCGTTACCTCAAAGTCCACGCGGCGCAGAAGGGCGAATGAGAACCCTTCATGTCTCAAAAACTTTTCAGAAACTGGACTGAAAATGTGTTGAGTTTCGTAGTTTTGAAAAAGAAAAACAATAAAATGAGAAAACAGTTTATTTTGTTTTTCTGTTTTATTGTCAACCAAAAAAACTGATTTCGACTTTTATTTCCAACATTTTATTTAAAGTTCAATCAAAAAACTGTCTCTGTGCCTATTTCAGTTTTGATATTTTTATTCTCTGGTTTATTTGAAGTTTTGCTGCTGAAAGACGAACCTCGGTGAAAAATCGTTGCAGTTTCGTGGACAAACATGTTTCTTCTTTTATAGCGACGTGTTTATTTTCGTGTCTTTAGGCTCCAGACTGAACGTGGCCTAATCTGTGTGTCGTTCGTTCATTTGTTTTTCAAAATAAAACCAAAAACAAACAAAAATAAGATAACGGAAAAAAAACTACGATTTTCTTCATTATTTGTCTCCAAAACCAAAATTAAAAAAACAGATAATGATTTGTTTTTTCAGTTTTCGATTTTGTGTTTAAATGAAAAATGGAAAAAATTGATAACGAACTGAGACCAGGACTTAGATTGGGACCAGACCAGGATCAGACCAGGACTGAAAATGGGTTAGTCCTGGTTTAGTCCTGGTTTAGTCCTGGTTCTGTCTTGGTTTAGTCCTGGTTTAGATCTGGTTTAGTCCTGGTTTAGTCCTGGTTCTGTCTTGGTTTAGTCCTGGTTTAGATCTGGTTTAGTCTTGATTTAGTCTTGTTTTAGTCCTGGTTTAGATCTGGCTTAGTCCTGGTTTAGTCTTGATTTAGTCTTGGTTTAGTCCTGGTTTAGTCTTGTTTTAGTCCTGGTTTAGACCTGGTTCAGTCTTGGTTTAGTCCTGGTTTAGTCCTGGTTTAGTCCTGGTTTAGACCTGGTTCAGTCTTGGTTTAGTCCTGGTTTAGACCTGGTTCAGTCTTGGTTTAGTCCTGGTTTAGACCTGGTTCAGTCTTGGTTTAGTCCTGGTTTAGATCTGGTTTAGTCCTGGTTTAGTCTTGTTTTAGTCCTGGTTTAGTCCTGGTTTAGACCTGGTTCAGTCTTGGTTTAGTCCTGGTTTAGATCTGGTTTAATCCTGGTTTAATCCTGGTTCAGTCCGTTATCCGTTTTTTTTTTCTTCCATTTTTCATTTAAACACAAAATCAAAAAACTGAAAAAATGAATCATTATCTGTTTTTTCATTTTGGTTTTGGAGACAAATAATGAAGAATTATATATTTTTTCTTATTATTTTTGGTTTTATTTTGAAAAACAAATAAACGAACAACACACAGATTCAGCCTGAAGTTTCCAGATCAGATTTTTTGTCCCTTTGCTCCTGTTTCTGATCTTTTAACGACAAAATGAACGACACAAATCAGATTTTTTTTTCGTCAAACGTGACCCTGGAAACTTGAATATTTTGTCCTAAAACCCAAACAGATCTGAACTTTTGACACGCGTCTTCAGTCTGAACTTTTAAAAACTCCGTCCAGAATCACTGCAGAGACTTTTAACACTTTTAAACTTCAATCTGTAAAAGTTTCAGTGTCTCATGTTTCTTTTCTGTTTCATGTTGTGAGTTTTGCTGCTGAAGGACAAATCTCGGTGAAAAATCGTTGCAGTTTCGTGGACAAACATGTTTCTTCTTTTATAGCGACGTGTTTATTTTCGTGCCTTTAGGCTCCAGACTGAACGTGGCCTAATCTGTGTGTCGTTCGTTCATTTGTTTTTCAAAATAAAACCAAAAATAAGAAAAGGAAAAAACAGATGATTCGTTTTTTTCTTTTTTTTCCAGTTTTCGATTTTGTGTTTAAATGAAAAATGGAAAAAAAAAAAAACAGATACCGGACTGAACCAGGTCCAGAACCAGACCGGGACCAGACCAGGACTAAGTCTAGGACCAGACCGGGACTGAAAATGGGTTAGTCCTGTTTTAGTCTTGTTTTACTCCTGGTTTAGTCCTGGTTCAGTCTTGTTTTAGTCCTGTTTTAGACCTGGTTCAGTCCGTTATCCTTTTTTTCCATTTTTCATTTAAACACAAAATCAAAAAACTGAAAAACTGAATAGTTTTCTGTTTTTTTTTTTCATTTTGGTTTTGGAGACAAATAATGAAGAAAACAGATTTTTTTTTTTTTTTTTTTAATTTTCTTATTTTTGGTTTTATTTTGAAAAATGAATAAACAAACGACACAGATTCAGCCTGAAGTTTCCAAATCTGATTTTTCTTTTCCCCTTTGCTCCTGTTTCTGATCTTTTTTTGACGTCTGAGCGACACAGATCTGATTTTTGTTTTTCCAAACATGACCCTGGAAACCTTGAATATTTGCTCCTAAAACCCAAACAGATCTGAACTTTTGACACACAACGTCCTTCACGACTTTTAAAAACTCCGTCCAGAGAATTTAACAGGATCATTGCAGAAAGTTTTAACACTTTTAATCTTTAATGTGTAAAAGTTTGAGTCTCTTGTTTCTTTTCTGTTTCATGTTGTGACCGACGTGTGACTCTTTCTGTTTCTGTTTGTGATGTTTTTTATTCTGTCTTTTCGTCGTCTTTGCAAATGAGAAGTTGTTCTGAACTGACTTACCTGGTGAAATATTGAAGAAATAAAATAAAATAAAAATCAAACTCCAGCCTCGTTAAATGGTTAAATCAGAGTTTGTGTTGGAGTAAAGAGCAGAAGATCACGACGCTCGTCTGGTTTTGTTTATTTCACGTCTGTAAAAAAACAAAAGGCCAAAGTTTAATGTTTCTGTTTTCAAAAGTGACGTTTACGTGAAACAAAAAGGAAACAGAACTTCACAATCTGAGTGTCGTTCGTTTGTTTTTCAAAATAAAAGAATAAGAAAATGAAAAAAAAACAAAAAACAATTTTCTTCATTATTTGTCTCCAAAACCAAAATAAAAGAAAAACAGATAAAGATTAATTTTTTCAGTTTTCGATTTGGTGTTTAAATGAAAAATGGAAAAAAAACTGATAAAGGCCTAAACCAGGATTAAAACAGGACTAAACCAGGACTAAACCAGGTCTAAACCAGGTCTAAAACAGGACTAAAACAGGACTAAAACAGGTCCGGGACCAGACCGTAACCAGACAGGGACTGAGACCAGGACTTAGACCAGGGCCGAGACCGGGACCAGACCAGGACTGGGACCGAGACCGGAACTGAGACTAGGACTGGGGCTGGGACCAGACCAGGACCAGTTAAGAACTGAGACCAGGGCCAGACCGGGTCCAGACCGTGACTGAGACTGGGACCGAAAACGGAACCAGACCAGAACCGAGACTAGAACTGAGACCAGAACTGAAAACGATTTAGTCCTGGTCTGGTCCTGGTTCAATTCGTTAGTCCTGGTTTAGTCCTGTTTTAGTCCGTTATCCATTTTTTTCCATTTTTCATTTAAACACAAAATTGAAAAACTGAAAAAATCAAATCATTATCTGTTTTTTCATTTTGGTTTTGGAGACAAATAATGAAGAAAACTGTTTTTTTGGTTGTTTTTTTTTTTCGTGTTTTTTTCTTATTATTTTTGGTTTTATTTTGAAAAACAAACGAACGACACTCAGATTGTTCATGATGAAACCCTCTGCATCTGAGCTCAGTCGGACGAGCGTTTCGAGATTTACACGTGAAACAAAAACACACACAGATCTTTCTTTGCTTTAACAGATGAAGTTTGTGAAGATTTTGGTGAAGTTTATAATTTTACGTCCTGATTGGAGCAAATTTAGTCTCTGAATTTTGGAGTTTATTGTTGATGATGTTTTTGTTTGTCAGCTGAGAGATTCTGTTTTACAATTTCTTGTATTTTTGGACTTTTTTTCCCCCCACAAATCTTGATAAAAATTGACCACAGTAACTCACCGAAACCACCGACCGAGCGAGGAATGAGAGAAACATAAAAACCCGTCAGGTGCGCTTTAAATTTAGGTTTAATTGAACAGAAATCGATTTTAAAAAATAGTAAACATCAGTAATAAATCTTTTTAACATCTGTGCCTCCTGCACTTCGTCCAGTTCAACTCAAATAAAAAAAAATAAAAAAAAAACATCTTGTCGAGAATGAAATGAAATTCTGAACAATCCCAAACGTAAAACACCTGTGTGAAGTCGACACATCAAACTCAAACGACACAAAAATTACATAAATCGTTTGTGCTGTTTTAGTTTTGGAGATATTAATGATTTTTTTACAGGTCAAACTGGGATCAGCAGCTCCAGAAAACTTCAAAATAAAATAAAATGACACAAAATGGAGTCAATCGTCAATCGTGCTGCAAAAAGTTCTGTTTGTGCGATTATTAAGATTTTAATGTGTTACAGACGCGGAGCAGAGTTATAGAATAGTTTAGATCAGGAGTGTTAAAAACTCATTTTGTTCCAGGCGTCGTGTCCAACCGACTTTGTTCCCAAAGTGTCCGGATCAGAAAACTCATGTCGTATAAACCCCAAAAATAACAATAAGTTCAAATATTTGTGCAGAGAAACACAAATCTATTACACAAATCGGTAACACTTTATAATAACTACACCTTATTTAGCCTTAATAAAGCATGAACAAAGACTTAATTAATAATGAACAAAGACTTAATTAATAATGATTCACACTTAGTAACTACTTTATTACTACCTTAATTAGCACTTGCACTTAATTTGCCTGTGCTGTAAATAGTTACTCATAATTATTTCATACTTAATTACTCATGAACTAACCATTTGAGCATTTATTAATCATTAATAAACTATGAGAATGATTTACTAATAACACAATACAATGCAATGATCATTCATGCAGCTGTTATCTGTTAGTTAAGTCTTTTTGAGAGTTTTTCTAAAGTGAAGAATAATTATCCTTTATTAAACATTTACTAAGTGTGAATCATTATTAATTAAGTCTTTGTTCATGCTTTATTAAGGCTAAATAAGGTGTAGTTATTATAAAGTGTTACCCAGAAATCTTTTTTAATTGATGATCTCTTTCTTTTACAAAATATTATAATATTATGAACAACCTGAAACTTCAAGAAAAATACAATTTCAACACAAAGTTTGAACATGAACTTGTCTGTAAACAGGAATAAGTTCATTTTTGTTGTAAAATCCTGCACTCGGCTCCACTTTTCTCATGTTGGACATTTTTCTGATGAGGGTGTCACGGTCAACAGTCAAAACGATCGTCCTTTAAGAGCGTTTGGAAAGAGACAAGTCTTCATTTGTGCTGCTCTGGTGGGAGGGGCCACGTACAGAGACGCTGGAGACGCTGCTGTGATAAACACCACAGAAAATTAACAACATTTTAATAGAAAATATCATTCAAATATTTTAGTAGAAAATCAGCCCTGGTTTAGACGACCAAATCAAAACTTGTACGAACTTGGAGCACTTCAAAACAGCTATTAACAAAACACAGACTTTTCTTTAACGTGAACTTTTATTTTGAAACGATCATAAACGGTGAATTTTGTTCTTTCTTTATCATTGTTATTAGTTTGTACGACCATAAACAACAACAAAAATATTCTTCATTCTCTGGTTTATTTTGTACGATCATCAACGGAAAAAACTGCATCTTTAAAGAAATTAAGAACTAATAAAAAAAAAAAAAGTGATTGTGTTTTAGGTCTGAGTGATGATTTTAAAAAGTCTAACACTGTAGAAGCTTTAAAAAAAAAAAAAAAGAAGAAGATTTTGACCTCTGGAATGAATGATTTACGCTTTTCATTTTGTCTCTTATATTTAATTTTCTATCGTTGTTTAAAGAGTTTTGGTGTTAGACGAACTTTTTACTTCAGCCTGAACTCTTTCGGTCAGGATCCATGGAACTGGAGTCTGTGTTTTGTTTTTTGCAGCTCTACAAAACAAAACAAGTCAAAACTAAAAAATAAACTACAACTACTACGACATGAACAGTTTTATTTTGGGTCGATGACGTCGTCCAGCTCCTCAAAATGTGAAACGGCCTCAAAACGGCAGAAAATTAAATCAAATGTTTGTGTTTCGTTTGTGTTGTTTTGTATGACAGTTTTTTTCATTTGTGTGAGTTTGTTTCTAAAATTCTTCATTATTATTTTTGTGTAAACGATGTCAGGTCATTTCTGCTCAACGGACGACGGCGACTTTAACAAAACTCCACAAAACTAAAGAAGAGAAACGACGGAAATAAAATATGAAGTCACTACAGACGGATCCAGACTTTTCCACAGACTCAGGTCGTTTCTCTTCATGAATTTTGTGAAGTTTTCTTAAAGTTGCTGTTGTCAGGTCTGTGTGTGAACTAGGGACGGGCATTCGATGAAATGTTCTTAATCGATCGTCGGAAGAATTAACGATCGATTATCGATCAATCATGAACGTTTTTATATTAAAATGATCATCATTATTATTACTATCTGCACTAATCTGCATCAATAAATTCAACTTTACCACATATAAACATAACGACTCTAGATCCACATCAGCTGTTTGACATTATAATGTGTTTAATTCAGTTTTGTTCAAATCTCACAGAAACAAAACTTAAAACCACATCACTAATTTACATAAACTAAGTGAAGATAAAACTCCAGCTCTTGTGTCGCTGATGTGGTTCAACTTGTGTTGGATTAAAAGACATGACTCAGGTGAATACAGGTCAGTGTGACCAGATTTGTGTTTGTCAAAACCAGGACAGCGTACGGGGGGAGGGGGGCGGGGCCTCGTCATCCACATTGAGCGACTCTCACCTGGAAAAACTTTTTCCCACTGGACACAGAAACATATGTGCTGCTTTATCCACTGTGCACATGGACTCACACTTGTCCCAACGCAACGGAAAGTGTGGAATTTCTTCTACAAATCCTGGTTAAATCCACATTTGTGCTTCGGTTCGTTACAGACTGACCCACTGTTTGTGTCTCGCTCCTTCTGATGCAGAGACACATGTACACACCTGTTTGGTCACGACACACAAACATACATTCAGTTTGTCCATTAAAATCAACGTAATCGATGAAATTCTTAATGATCAATTATCGATTAATCATGCCCGTCCCTAGTGTGCACCAGTCATTATTTTGAATTTCAATTGAGAACGAAAAACAATAAAATCTGAAAAAGTTTAATTTTTCCATTTTAGTGTAAAAAAACAAAAAAAAAACCCAAAACAGATTTCAACTTTTATTTCCAATATTTAATTTAAAGTTTATTTCAAATCACACCAATTAAAAAAACAGTTTTGGTGCCTGTTTTGACGTTGATATTTTATTCTTTCTGGTTTATTTATCCAGAGAGTTTTGCTGCAGTGTCGACCATGGATCTATAATAAAAAATATTTTTATTCTAGTTCTATTTATTCACCTGAACAAAGTTTATCATCTCGTCGTTATCGCTTCTTGTTTCTCATCATGGATCAACAATAACAACAGTGACTTTCTAAGACGTGAAAATAAAAATAAAAACACGTCGCCATAAAAGAAAACGACGTGTTTGTCACAAAACTGCAATGATTTTTTCAGGTGAGTTCTGACTTTCAATAAACTTTAAATTAAATACTGGAAATCGAGGTGGAAATATGTTTAACACAAAAACAGAAAAATGAAATAAAAAACTTTTCACATTTTCACACGTTTTCACATTTTATTGCTTTTCATTCTTAATTGAAAAAAAAAAAAAAAAAACGAAGCTGAGCAGAAATGACCTCATAGAAATTCCGCAAAAATAATAATGAATCATTTTTAGAAACAAACTCACAAATGAAAACTGTCACAGCACAAACCAAATACGAAAGTTCGATTTAATTTTCTGCCGTTTTGAGGCCGTTTCACATTTTGAGGAGCTGGACGTCGTCGTTGGCCTAAAAATAAAACTGTTCAGATCTGAAGAAACAAAAATCACACAAATTAAACTTTTACAGCACAAACGAAACACAAACGATTGACTCCATTTTGTGTCATTTTAGAGCATTTTGAAGTTTCCTGGGAGCTTCTGATTCCAATTTGATCTAAAAAAGAATCGTTAATATCTCCAAAACACAAACGACAGACATAGTTTTTGTGTAGTTTGTGCTTTTGAAGAGAAATTATCTGAGACTGTGGAAAAATCTGAATTATTAAATAAAATACGAATCAAAAGCGACTTACTAAAGACTGACACCGACTTTTCCACTGCCTAAAATTAATCATTTTAGAAATAAACTCGCACAAATGAAACACAAACGTTTGGTTTAATTTTCTGCTGTTTTGGGGCTGGACGACGTCGTTGCTCCAAAATAAAACTGAGAATATCTGAAGAAACAGAATCACACAAATTAAACTTTTTGCAGCACAAATGAAGCAACGACTGACTCAATTTTGTGTCGTTTTCGAACATTTCGAAGTTTCCTGGAGGCGGCTGATTCTAATTTGACCTAAAAAAGAATTGTTAGTATCTTTCAAAACTGAAGCAGCACAAACGAAAGACAGTTTTTGTGTATTTTGCTTTTGATGGAGGCGACTTCACCGAGGAAACATTCACTGCTCCGTTCAAACAAACTCCTTCACATTCACCCCAGATGCAAAAGTTCTTCGAGCGCAAACTGCGACTAAACGCCTCCGTCGGGTTTCTGCGTCTCTTTTTTGTGAATCTTCTCGTGTCGGGTGAGGTGCCGCCGCGTTAAAAAGTTGGCGTTACAGACCGAACACACGAAAGGTCTCTCCGCGGTGTGAACACTCGTGTGCCGCTCCAGGTCCGCGCCCGAGAAGAACCGCGCGCCGCACTCCGAGCACCCGAAAGGTCTGTCCGCCGAGTGGATCCTCATGTGGGAGCGTAGGTTGTCTTTGCGGATGAAGGTCTTGGAGCAGACCGAGCAGCTGAACTGTTTGTCTCTGGTGTGGAGGACCATGTGGAGCTTCAGGTGCTGCTTCAGGGTGAACTGTTTGTTACAGACGGGACAGCTGAAAGCCTTCTCCCCCGTGTGCACCAAAATGTGTCTCCTCAGGTTCTCCATTCGCCCGAAGACTTTGTCACAGATGGGACACTGGTAAACCGTGGTCTGTCCTCGCTCTTTGCTTTCGTTCAGCGCCTGGTTGAGTAAAAAGCTGAGCCGCTCGAGTGTCCCGCCGTCGCCCTCGTCCTGCTGAGCTGAACTGCTGCAGGGTCCCTCCATCACCCGAGGCCAGTCTTCGTCGTTCTCAGAGTCGGAGAGCTGCTCCATGAGTTTGTCGTCGTCTGCTCCTCTCCACTCGTCTTCCTCCGCTCCTTCTCCTCCTCCTCTGTCCTCTCCGCTCGCCTCGCTCGCCTTCTGGTGCCGGATTATTGTGTCCACGGAATCGAGATGCGTGACGATGTGAGATTTGAGATTGCTTTTCTGAATAAACCTCTTTTCGCAAACGGGACAGCTGAAAGGTTTCTCCCCCGTGTGGAGCAGCATGTGTCTCTTCAGCTCCTGTTTCCTCCCAAGTTTCTTCTGACAGATCGGACACTCGTGCTTCCGTTTCCCTTCGCCGTCACATTTGGCGTTGGTCCTCGTGGTTCTGGGCGTTTCCGCGGACACGTCGTGGACCCGGTTGCATTCGTCGGTTTCTTCGTCCGAGTGGAGGAGCTGCGCTGAGCCGCCGGCGCGGGGTTCGCCGACCCGAGGCTCCCAGTCCGGGCTCCAGTCCTCGGGTTCTTCCGGTTCCTCTGGGAGCTGCGTCTGCGGCGGGACGAGGCTCCGGGCGTCGGGCGGGTCCGGACTGCGGTCGGGCTCCGGCTTCTCCGTCTTTATGTGGACGTCTGGAAAAGAGCAACAGATACTGACTTTCTCCTCCACACTGTTCACATGTTTCATCATTCAGGCTCCTCGTGATTGAAGTTATTTTATATTTATAAAAAAATTATAGTTCTGCCCCTGCCCCTGCACCTGTCTCACACAATCTGAGCTGTGCAAGTAAAGACTCATGAAGTAAATCTCCAGATGTTTTAACACAAACACGACGTCAAACCCTTCTCTCTCTCTCTTTTCTCTTTGGTTTTATTGAGTATATTTTTTTATATTTTCTTTATTTTCTTTAAGCTGTTGTATCCTGCACACTCACACTTACAAAATAAAAACAATTTGGTCATAAAATTGATTTTATTTATCTTTAAACAAATGTTCTAAAATTCCACATGAAGCTTTTTGGGAAAAGCCAAACGTCAGACGGTTCAAATTGATCATAAACTGAATTTATAAAGACACATTTAGTCTTTTTTAGTCTTTAGATTTAAACTTGAAACATTTGTAAATCATATTTTTTTACATTTTGCTCAATGTAAACAGACAGAATGTTTTAAACGCTCAACAATAAAAACAGATCCAGTGACTTCCTGTTCAAAAGTCCAGAGCAGTGGGCGGGGATAGGGGGAAGGGGAAAACACACATTTTCAAACCTCAAATGCAGAAAAATACAGAACAGTGAATCAGTGATACGGTTAAAACCCGTAAACGTTGTACAGTTTTAAAGTTTGTCTTATTAAAATATATCATATATATATTTTTGTCATTAGGTCAGAGTTTGTTTACAGCGCCGCTGTAGTCTTGACTTTCTTTTTTTTGTGGCTCTTTTTGTGTTTTCGGAAATAAAACGGCGACGAAAAGGTCATGTTACAAACTGAACAGCTGAAAGTCACGTCTCTGTTATGAACGACCATGTGCCGCACCAGGTTTTTCTTCAGAGTGAACCTGACGTCACACTGTGAGCAGCCGAAAGGTCGGGCTCCAGAGTGATTCTTTATGTGTCGCCCCAGATTATCTTTACGCTTGAACGTTTTGTCACAGACTGAACAGCTGAAGAGCTTCTCGTCCGTGTGGATCAGGACGTGAGACATGAGGTGCTGCTTCAGCCTGAACGACTTACTACAAACTGAACAGCTGAAAGACTTCTCTCCTGTGTGAGTTAGAATGTGACGCTCTAAATGGTGCAAACGGTGAAATGTTTTCTCACAGTGCGAGCACCTAAACTGAGATCGAATGCCTGTTTTATCGGTGACACTGCGAGTGCCTCCTCTCGCCTGCAGAGGGCGCCGTCGGCCTTTAGAGCGTTTACTTTGAGCCGCCGCAGCGGAGTCTCCTTCGGCCTCTAGAGCCTCCTGCGGGCGCCTCGTGTGGGCCTCAGAGTTGCGCTGGGGCTCGTCCGGTTCTGCTCCTCGTTCCTCTTTCCTTTCCGTTTTTCTCTCATCTTTCTTTTCCTTCATTCTTTCCTCTTTCCTCTTCCGTTTCTTCTCGTCTTTCACAGTTTGTTTTTGCTGTTCTGGACGCTCTTCTCTGGTCGACGTCGCTTTGTGCTTCCGTTTCTTTTTATTGGATTCGTTCATCTTTTCACCGTCGTTTCTGTTTGACACGGCGAGATTTTGGACGCCGTTTGCTGATTGGACGGCTGTGTTTTGGTCTTGCGTCGGAGCGCCGTGATTGGCTTCTCTCGCCGCCTCCCTCTCCGTGTGAGTGGGCTGAAGCTCCGCCTCCTCTTTGCTGGAGTCGCGCTGAAGCTCCGCCTTCTCTGTGCCAGACTCACACTGAAGCTCCTCCCCCTTTTCGCCAGAGTCAAGCTGAAGCTCCGCCCCCCTTTCACTGGAATCGCGATGAAGCTCCGCCCCCTTTTCACTGGAATCACGCTGAAGCTCCGCCCCCTTTTCACCGGAGTTGCACTGTAGCTCTACCCCCTCTTCGCGCTGAAGCTCCGCCCCCTCTTCCCGCCGAAGCCCCGCCCCCTCTTTGCTTGCATTGTGCTGAAGCTCCGCCCCCTCTTTGCTTGCATTGTGCCGAAGCTCAGCCCCCTCTTCGCACCGAAGCTCCGCCCCCTTTTCACGCTGAAGCTCCGCCTCCTCTTGGCTTGCATTGTGCCGAAGGTCCGCCCCCTCTTCGCGCCAAAGCTCCGCCCCCTCCTCGCAGAAGTCGCCGTCTTCACTTTTGACGGTGACGATTCTAACGTCATCGCTCGTCTCTGCATCTTCTTCGGTTTTCACGGTGACGATTCTAACGTCGGGACTGGTCTCTGCCTCGTCTTTAAGCTCCGCCTGCTCGCCGCCGCGCTCCGTTTGAATCTGCACGTCTAAAACAAATTAAAGACACGATTTAACGAGGAGCCATGACACTTCTGTGGCCTAATAACTGTGACACAACAGAGCAGGAAACACGACCGGATCGACGACCTCGGACAAATATTTAGAGTTTATGTTCGTGTTTGTGTCGTAAACGTGGAGAAACGAGAAACGATTAATCTCTCACGACCAGCTCCAGATCGACAGTCGTAGGTCGGAGGAAAATCAAACCTGTTTGAGTCCCGTCGCGTCTCGTGACGGTTTCGATCTGTTGAAGTCGTTCAGTGTGAAAACATGAATCATGAGCTGTGAACTTTTAAACCCTGAGATTTGGTCGAACAGTTTGAGCTGAGGTCGAGTGAAACGGTTGAAAATATCTCAGTGAACGTCCGGCGTAAGACCAAACTCAACCTGATCCAACAGTCACACGAGTGAGAAATCGGCTCAAAACTAAAATAGTACTTTAAAGATGCACTACGGAACTTTTCTGTTGGGGGTCACTGGTCTGTCTCCATGGCTACGATATGTTCCACACTGTGGCTTTAGAACAGAAAACCAAACTCAGAGACGACAGACTGACACGATGCACACGTAAAAAAACGTGTTAAAGATCAGAGTCTCGTGCTCCCGCGTGCGCGTGTGAACGTGAAACTTTAAATGATTCAAAAAGACGAAAGTTGAAGCAGAAACACGTGCGGCCTCCACTTCATCTGAAACACGAGACACTTCACAACAGCACGAGTCTAAAACCCGAGTGTTCCTCAAAGTGTTTCACAGAGTGACCCGAGTCAGACCCGGAGACCCGGAGACCCGGAGACCCGGCCCAGAGCCTCTATCCCCGGACACACAGGCTCTGTGTCCCCGGACACACAGGCTCTGTGTCCCCGGACACACAGGCTCTGTGTCCCCGGACACACAGGCTCTGTGTCCCCGGACACACAGGCTCTGTGTCCCCGGACACACAGGCTCTGTGTCCCCGGACACACAGGCTCTGTGTCCCCGGACACACAGGCTCTGTGTCCCCGGACACACAGGCTCTGTGTCCCCGGACACACAGGCTCTGTGTCCCCGGACAGAGCCTCTGTGTCCCTGGGCTGAGGCTCTGTCCCCGGGCAGAGCCTCTTTGTCCCCGGGCAGAGCCTCTGTGTCCCCGGGCAGAGCCTCTGTGTCCCCGGGCAGAGCCTCTGTGTCCCTGGGCTGAGGCTCTGTCCCCGGGCAGAGCCTCCGTGTCCCCGGACACACAGGCTGTGCCCGGACACACAGGCTCTGTGTGCCCGGACACACAGCCTCTGTGTGCCCGGACACACAGCCTCTGTGTCCCCGGGCAGAGCCTCTGTGTCCCCGGGCAGAGCCTCTTTGTCCCCGGGCAGAGCCTCCGTGTCCCCGGACACACAGGCTCTGTGTCCCCGGGCTGAGGCCTGGAGCACAGACTCGGTCTGTGGCTCGAGTTTGTCTCGTTTGTTTTTGTGTTTAAACATCATATTTCGGGGCTTTTGTCGTCAGGAAACGAGCTTTTTATAAATGAGAAGCTCAGATACCATATATATTTATATATACAACAAATGTTTGAACAGTGGAAGTTCTCACCCTCCGTCCGGTGGAGTCGGACCTGAGGCCGCAGAGTCGGGTCCAGGAGCTCCGGGTTCCTCTGGTTCTTCTGGTTCCTTTGGTTCTCCTCTCTGGAGCGGCGCAGTTCTTCTTCATACTCCGCTATGATCGTCTCCAGCAGAGCACAGATCTCGTCCGCGGCCGCAGAGAGTCTGTCGGACACCAGAGCTCTGAGTCTGCGCCTCTTCTCACACATTTTACACCCGCGGCTTTAGCTTTAGCTCGGAGCTAACCGGAGCTAACGGGGCGCGTGAGCCTCTGCGCACAAAGCCGCGCGTAAACGTTTACGTAAAGAGCGTGCGTAAAGAGCGTGCGTAAAGACGCGTAAAGACGCGTAAAGAGCGTAACACCGCCTACAGGGACGCACCGCGGGGGAGAGAGGGAAACATTTACATCACAAAACACAGAACTACAAGTACTACACAGTACTACACAGTACTACACAGTACTACAGAGACAAAGTACTACACAGTACTACACAGAACTACACAGAACTACACAGTACTACACAGTACTACAGAGACAAAGTACTACACAGTACTACACAGAACTACACAGTACTACAGAAACAAAGTACTACACAGTACTACACAGAACTACACAGAAGTACACAGTACTACACAGTACTACACACTACTACAGAGACACAGTACTGCAGTACTATAGAGGCTTTAAACAAAGTTTTGCAGTATAAACTTCCTTTGACCTGAACTCTTTGAACTTTATTGATTCTTTTTATTTGGGCAAAAACAAACAATTCTATTTTTACATGATGTTTGTTTCTGAGAAAAAAAAAAATTATGTCATTTTATGTTTTAATCATTTTGAAGGAAAACCAGGTCCACCAGGTCCAACACCAGGTCCAACACCAGGTTCACCTGTGGACACCAGGTCCTCCTGTGGACACCAGGTCCACCCCCAGGTCCAACACCAGGTCCAACACCAGGTCCAACACCAGGTCCAACACCAGGTCCACCTGTGGACACCAGGTCCTCCTGTGGACACCAGGTCCACCCCCAGGTCCAACACCAGGTCCAACACCAGGTCCAACACCAGGTCCACCTGTGGACACCAGGTCCTCATGTGGACACCAGGTCATGTTTTCAAATGTGAAGACCTTCAAACTGTCAGAGGACGAGTATCCAAAGCTGTACTCAAGTAAAACCATTACTTCAAAATACTCAAGTACAAAGAAGTGCTCTAAGAAGTACTCAAGTATCAGTAAGTATTTAGGGAAACTACATCTCAAATAAGAGTATCTGTAATTTGAAGTAAATGTGATTAAGACAAAACTTTAAATAAATAAATCACAGAATCTGGTGTTTTTAAAGAAAAGAGACGAAAATGAGACAAACTGAATCAGACTAAAGTTAAACCTTTTACTCGAGTAAGAGTACTCTTACTCTGTACGATATATGTCACAAAAATAAACTATTGTGAAAAACTGTGCTTTTTAGAGTACTTATTAAAGTTCCTCGGGTAAAAGTAACAGAAGTAGCAGAGTACTACACACCTCTGAAGGCTGAAGGTGAAAAGTACAAATAAAACTTCATGTATTTACTGAAACTGAAAACACGTTCATAATAAAAACACAGCAGGGAGAAAAGAATAATTCACACGACACTTTGATTTCCGACTTAAATTTAAAAACACAAACGTGACTCAAACACGTAAACTTCACACGATCAAGTCCTTCACGTTCCACAGGACACAAAACATACAAAAACTTCAGGAGTTTCACAAAAACTCAAATAAGTGCATCAAATTAAGAAAAAAAAAAAAAATCGAGTCTGAGAGAAACCGACGACTTTTCAAAAACCGACGAGACGGTTTCAGCTGGAGTCCGTGTTCACCGTTGTGCTCGTTCACAGAAAATCACGTAAAATAAAATAAAATTCAAACTTTTCCGTTCTAACGTCGTTTCCTTGTCGGCTGGAGTCCACAGGGAGACGTTTTATCCTCCTCGATTTTTATTTTACACCAGGGACTGAAGAAGGAAGGAGATTTATGTGATTGTGAGAATCTTAAACGCCGAGAAGAGTCACGGAGATTTTTTTTTGTACATTAATGTCAAAGGTTTTAGAGTTTTTCCAGTTATTTATTTATTTATTTATTCATTATTATTTATTTTTATTTATTATAATAAATTTTTATTATTCTCACAATAATATCGTGGACTGTCACAATAGATCAAATCACAAGTTCCTTTGCTTAAATTCATAGTTTTATAAAACAGCAGTAAAAAAGCCCCTCGTCCTGGTTTACAGTCCTGTGGACTCGTTTCCGTATTTCGATTGCTTCTTTAATCCAGCGGCGATGTTTGTTTTCCTCTGTCCCGAGGATGTTTGCTCCGTCCCCGTCCATAACGTGGTTTTCTCTTTTACACTGGTCAGAAACGGCCGATTTGAGTTGTTCCTGTTCTGCTTTGTGTTTTGTTGCTTGTTGTTTTTTACTCTCACACACCTGGATTCTGTCCTGAGGAAGTGGGACCTGCAGGTGGCGCTGTCGTCCTGCCTCCACCGAGAGGAAGACGGCGCCAAAACCTGTTTAAATCATCTGATCAGACACGTCACAGCAACATCACGTGACTCTGAGGAAGACGCTCGTGAACAGAACAAACTGTCAGGGATGAAATAACACTCCAGGTCTGAAAAAAAGAACCTGATAACATAGATCACAGGTGTCAAACATAAGGCCCGGGGGCCAGATCCGGCCCTCCAAGACCTTTAAGGTGGCCCTTGGGTGACAAAAATATTGTAATGATATTTTCTATTAAAATGTTGTTAATTTTCTGTGGTGTTTATCACAGCAGCGTCTCCAGCGTCTCTGTACGTGGCCCCTCCCACCAGAGCAGCACAAATGAAGACTTGTCTCTTTCCAAACGCTCTTAAAGGACGATCGTTTTGACTGTTGACCGTGACACCCTCATCAGAAAAATGTCCAACAGGAGAAAAGTGGAGCCGAGTGCAGGATTTTACAACAAAAATGGACTTATTCCTGTTTACAGACAAGTTCATGTTCAAACTTTGTGTTGAAATTGTATTTTTCTTAAAGTTTCAGGTTGTTCATAATATTATAATAAGAAAAAGTTCATCAATTAAAAAAGATTTGTGTAATAGATTTGTGTTTCTCTGCACAAATATTTGAACTTATTGTTATTTTGGGGTTTATATGACATGAGTTTTCTGATCCGGACACTTTTGGATCAAAGTCGATTGGACACGACCCCCGGAACAAAATGAGTTTGACACTCCTGAATATCAGAAGACCAAATGAATCTCATTGGGCTGGTACCTCGGGGCGTCGCTGCTGGGCCACAGCCAGACAGAATTTAAGGAGAAGTTGGCCGTGTGCCCGGGAGGTGTCAGTGTCCGTGGGCGACCGGGTGGACCGCTGGACCCACGTGTGTGTTTGGCTGAAGACACTGGTGGTTTTTTAAATGGTTTGTGTGTGAGTGTGAATGAAACTGTATTTTTAAAATGAATTGTTGTGTTTGGGCGGCCACGCTGTTTTAAAAAAAACAAAACTGAACGGTGCTATGGGGAGCTGTGTGTGGATTTACGACACAGGTAGCAACATTTTAAATAGTTTTTAAATCATTAAAGTTTTTCTAGTATAACCTATAATGAAGAAGAATGGTCTGAAATCTGCAAAAATATATTTCCTAAACGTAAACCTATATCAATACATGAAGAAAATTATAAATTATTTCATAGATTTTATTATACTCCAGTGCGTCTTCAGAAAATGTTCCCTGACAGCTCTGATCTTTGTTATAAATGTCAAAAATATAAAGGCACTCTACTACATTTATTCTGGGAATGTGAATATATTCAACAGTTTTGGAGCGATGTACACGCTGTTGCCCAACAGATGACGGGAAAAACTTTTGTCATGTCACCATCATTGTATCTGTTAAATCTTTGTCCTGACAAACTTTTTGATAATGTTACACAGTCTGTGTTAATGATCATGACGTCTGTGGAAAGAAAATGTGTTCTTCTGAAGTGTTCAACCCCACACTTCACCTCCACTGGACTCATGGTTCACTCAGTTATCATCAACCATTCCCCTGGAAAAACTGACTTATGAACGAAATGGCAAACAAGAAATGTTCTGGAAAATATGGACACCTGTACACATATATTTAAATATGTCATTTATTATTTTTTTTATTTATATATATTTTTGAATGTATTTGTTATGGGGGAGTGTTCGAGTGTGTGCGTTTATGTGTATGTATGTAAATGTATGTCATTTGTATATATTAATGTAATTATGTTACTTTATTTTTATTATTATTTTCTGGTCAATGTTATTATCATTATTATTATTATTTTTATTTTATTATAAATTATATTTATTATAATTTTTTATTTATTATTATTATTATTATTATTATTATTATTATTATTATTATTATTTTATTTTATTTTTTCTTTTCAGCGTGGGGAGTGGGGAGGGTGAATTGGGGTTTGGGAAAGGGGAGGAGGGGGTTTAAATGTGGCATTTGTACACTTGTATATTTTGTGGCATTTTTGTGTGGCCGTAAGACCATAAAAATTAAATAAAATATACATGAATGAAAAAAAAAAAAACAGTTTATCCAGTCTGTCCGTTGTTTGTAATTTTGTGTTTTTGTGTTTTTACAGTTGGCTGTTGTCCCTGCTTGTTGTTGTTTGTGCTTTTTTCCCGGTCACTTCCCGTTCTCGCGCTTGTACGTTTATTTTAAATAAATCACCTAAACTGCATCTCCGGCTCCGGACTTTTATTACCACGACTATAACACTTAATTATTGTGTTCATTTCTCCTTAATACGCAGTGTTTTCTCTGTGGTAGCATCTTCTAATATTTTGTAGATATGAGGTATGTATTTGCTCGTAATAGATTTTTGAATCACCGATGTAAAAAAAGAGATTTTTATATTTGTAGGTGGAGCTTCTATTCTTCTTCTTCTATTGTTTTTACTACAACTTCACTTCACACAGGAACCGTCTGCTCCTGATCTCTCATTTTATAAACTTTACTTACTTACTTTTTGAAACTGAATGAAGATAAAACTGAGGTGATGATGTTTGGGGCCAACAGTTTCCTCACTGATGTGGGACCAGGTCTAAACCAGGTCTAAACCAGGTCTAAACCAGGACTAAACCAGGTCTAAACCAGGTCTAAACCAGGTCTAAACCAGGTCTAAACCAGGACTAAACCAGGTCTAAACCACTAAACCAGGTCTAAACCAGGTCTAAACCAGGACTAAACCAGGTCTAAACCCTAAACCAGGACTAAACCAGGAACTAAACCAGGTCTAAACCAGGTCTAAAAGGTCTAAACCAGGTCTAAACCAGGTCTAAACCAGGACTAAACCAGGACTAAACCAGGTCTAAACCAGGTCTAAACCAGGTCTAAACCAGGTCTAAACCAGGACTAAACCAGGTCTAAACCAGGACTAAACCAGGTCTAAACCAGGTCTAAACCAGGTCTAAACCAGGACTAAACCAGGACTAAACCAGGTCTAAACCAGGTCTAAACCAGGTCTAAACCAGGACTAAACCAGGTCTAAACCAGAAGTAAACCAGGACTAAACCAGGACTAAACCAGAACTAAACCAGGACTAAACCAGGACTAAACCAGAACTAAACCAGGACTAAACCAGGACTATTTGATAAACAGTTTAACAATGTTTTAAAATCAAGTTTTTATCATTTGCGACTTTTATCTAAAGTTAAACCTTTTTTATCTTTTAAACTATTTGAACAAGTTCTGCAGGTTTTATTTCATCACATCTGGACGACTGTAACGCACTTTACCGACGACAGTTTGTCCAAAACTCTGCAGCGCGACTTTTAACAGGAACAAAAAGGAGAGAAGAGCACATGACCTCAATCTTTGCGTCTTTGCTCCGGCTTCCTGTTAATTTTAGAATTGATTTTAAGATTTTATTGTTTGTTTTTAAAGCTTTGAATGGACTGGCCTCACAGTACGTCTCAGACCTCATCCAGATTTATACCCCTGCGAACGCTCTGAGGTCTGAGGTCCAGCTCCAGCTCAGGGTTCTGTGGGAAATATTCTGTGTTGATCTTGCTGATTCACCCAATATTTTGTACCTTGGAATGACAACAGGGAGAAAAACACGTATGACTGTCTGTAGTTCTATAAAAGACATGTTTTTCTGTACTTTGAGATGCCACGAAGCAGAAAACTGATGTATGTGAACCCCGTGGCCTGTACCCACCCATGATAAAGTGCACCGGGTCAGCATTATTGTTCATTTTCTTGCTGTATACGCTAAATCAACAAGTTAATGTTTTGTCAGATGTGTGGTATAAAGCTCCTCCTCTTGTGAGTTGGGCAGAGGCGTCGTTCCGGGGTGACAGTTGTACTTGGTGATCAACTTGAATCTCTCTGAATGGAAAATGCTGAAATAAAAAGTGGCCTGTTCTCGGATCCTTCCATCTTTTGTGCTTCTTTCTAGGACACGAACTGAACCTTCCGAAAAAAAAAACAAAACACAGTGCCTAAGACGAGATTTAAAACCAGGAGGACAGGAGCTTGTGTGGTCGGCCCTAAACTCTGGAACGATCTGCCGCTTCACGTTCGAGCGGCTCCACAGCGGAGAGTTTTAAATCTCGTCTGAAGACCCACTTTTATTCTCTGGCTTTTAACACCGCGTGAGTCGTTGCTCGTCTGTGTCTTTTATTTATTTTTATGTGTTTTTATTGGTTTTACTGATTTAATTTATTCATTGGTTTATTTATTTCTATTCTATGATTTTGTTTTTATTTTACTGGTTTTATTTTATTTTACTGGTTTTATTATTTTAAGACTAGTATTATTTTAGTAGTTTTCTTTATCATCTTATTGTTGTTATTTTTTATGTATTTGTGCAGCACTTTGGAAACAGTTTGTTTGTGAAATGTGCGACAGAAATAAAGTGGATTGGATTGGATAAAAATGCAACTTATATGTTTTTTTCTTCTTTATTACACATTTTTTGGCTGGTGCGACTTAAACTCCGAAAAATACAGTAGGTAATAAACGTGAAAAGTTTTAAAATCATCGTGGTGTGTGGGAATAAAAAGAAAGTTCTACCGTTTAACGTGGAAAATCACAGGAGATTGTCTAAAAAAAAAAAAAAAAGAGGGTTTCGGTGTTGAGGATCAGAGTCCGTGGGTTTTCATGTGTGTTTTCAGGTGACACGACTGTCCGAACTTCTTGGGACAAACTGTACAGCTGTAAGGCCTCTCCCCCGTGTGCGTCCTCTGATGATTGCTGAGGCTGGCGTGCGACGGAAACGCTTTCTCGCACACCGAACAGCCGTACGGTCTCTCCCCCGTGTGCGTCCTCGTGTGCACTTTGAGACCGGAGTTCAGCGCGAACGTCTTCCCGCAGGTTGAGCAGCTGTAAGGCTTGTGTCCCGTGTGCGTCCTCTTGTGTGCGGCGAGTTGAGACGACAGCGCGAACGCCCGTTTACACACCAAGCAGCTGTAGGGTTTCTCTCCGGTGTGAATCCTCATGTGCACGTGTAGATAATCCTTCAGCGCGAAGCTTTTCTGACACACGGAGCAGCTGAAAGGTCTCTCCCCGGTGTGTCTCCTCATGTGTATGTTCAGGCTTCTCTTTTTGACGTACGCTTTCCCACAGACCGTACAGCTGTAAGGTTTTTCGCCCGTGTGAGTTCTCATGTGAGTCTTGAGTTCGTTCTTTTGTTTAAATTCCTTCTGGCAGGTCGAACAGCTGTAAGGTCTCTCGCCGGTGTGAATCCTCATATGTGCGTTGAGGTTTCCGCTCTGGATAAACGTCTTGTGGCAAACCGAACAGCTGAAAGGTTTCTCGCCCGTGTGACTCCTCATGTGCTTTTTGACGTCACCCTTATGCGTAAAAGTTTGGCTACATCTCGAACAGCTGTAAGGTCTCTCCCCTGTGTGGATCTTACTGTGTTTCTTTAATCGACATTTCTGGACGAACGATTTCTTACAAACTGAACAGCTGTAAGGTTTCTCGCCCGTGTGGCTTCTCGTGTGGACTTTTAAGTTTTGATTTGTGGTGTAAGACTTGTGACAAACGGCGCACTCATATTTCCTCTTCTTCTTCTCCTCAGATCCTCCGCCTTCTCCTTCTGCCTTTGGTTTCCTCGGCGTTTGTTCGTCATGCTCTCCGTGCTCCTCCGTCTCCGTGTGCGCGGTGGAAGTGCCGGCCGGAGCCTCCCAGTCTTCGTCGTCGTCTGTGTCAGAGGAGCAGTCGGTTTGTGAGTCCGTTTGTGGGTCGGTGAACTCCGGGAGCAGCTCTTCCTCCGGGTCCACGCTCTGCTCCTCTGCCTCCTCTTTAATCTGTGGACTCTCGGGGGTTTCCTCCTTCACTCTGGACTCGGGGCTGGACCAGGTCTGAACAGCTGCAGGAACAACATGAAGAAGAAAAAAGACAAAAGCTGCGTTACTACAGAAATGTTCTTTAGTGTTTGTGCTGAGCTGAAACGTGTGAGTTTTGGTCAAACGCAGAAGGAGCCGATCACAATCTGGGATTCAGTCCTGGGATTTAGTCCTGGTTTAGTCCCTGGTTTAGTCCCTGGTTTAGTCCCTGGTTAGTCTCTGATTTGGTCCCTGATTCTGTCCAGGTCTAGTTCTGGTTCTGGTTCAGTCCTGGTTTGGTTCCTGGCTGCACTACTGATTTGATTTATATGAAATTTTTCAGAAAAGCTAGACAATGACTCCTACATGACTTCATTATCTTTGGCCATAATTCTGTCATGAATCGTCTGATTTGTTCTGATTTGCTATTTTATGCATGTATGTTTTTATTTTTCATTTATTTTCAGTGAAGTCTGATCATTTGTTAAACTGAAGGACACACGATGTGAATAAAATATAATTTCACATAAATTTGAGCTGTTGTGAGACTGACTTGTCAGACTTTACAGTTTTCATCATCGACCATCCACCAATAATGATGCCAAATGATATTATGATGTTACTATATGTTGATTGTTTATCACACGTAAGCGCTTGGACAATATATGAACAGAGACCAACAATAAAACTATTCTTCGTGTGTGAAAGTAAAAAACTAAGATAGTGTGTATACTCTGTGTGTGTGTGTGTACTCGTGTGTGTATACTCGTGTGTGTCTGTGTGTGTGTGTGTGTATATTGTCATACTCATATATATATACTCTGTGTGTGTGTGTATACTCTGTGTGTGTGTGTATACTCATATATACTCTGTGTGTGTGTGTGTGCATGTATACTTGTGTGTAGTGTATACTCTGTGTGTGTGTGTGTATATGTGTGTGTGTGTATACTCTGTGTGTGTGTGTGTGTATACTCTGTGTGTGTGTGTGTGTATACTCTGTGTGTGTGTGTATACTCTGTGTGTGTGTGTGTGTGTATACTCTGTGTGTGTGTGTGTATATGTGTGTGTGTATACTCTGTATACTCTGTGTGTGTGTGTGTGTGTATACTCTGTGTGTGTGTGTGTGTATACTGTGTGTGTGTGTGTGTGTATACTCTGTGTGTGTGTGTGTGTGTGTGTATATGTGTGTGTGTGTGTGTATACTCTGTGTGTGTGTGTGTGTGTGTGTGTGTGTATACTCTGTGTGTGTGTGTGTGTGTGTGTGTGTGTGTATACTCTGTGTGTGTGTGTGTGTGTGTGTGTGTGTGTGTGTGTATACTCTGTGTGTGTGTGTGTGTGTATATGTGTGTGTGTGTGTGTGTGTGTGTGTATACTCTGTGTGTGTGTGTGTGTGTGTGTATACTCTGTGTGTGTGTGTGTGTGTGTATACTCTGTGTGTGTGTGTGTGTGTGTGTGTGTGTGTGTGTATACTCTGTGTGTGTGTGTGTGTGTGTGTGTATACTCTGTGTGTGTGTGTGTGTGTGTGTGTGTGTGTGTGTGTATACTCTGTGTGTGTGTGTGTGTATACTCTGTGTGTGTGTAAAATAAATTGCCAGAAGTTTTTTCAGTGCTGTGACTGATCTTTGCCACAAGATGGCGCCAGTGCAAAGCCAAACGTTTCACCCGACACAGATCTGCAGCTGCAGCCTGAGGCTCCTGAGTCAAACCTCAGGTCCACAGAGGCTCAGAGCAGCTCGAGCGTCTCGGACTCAAATATTCACCTCCTGGATTCTTTTACACACAAAACTGCACTGGACACAAGATCGTCTTTAAACAGAAGTGAACAAAAAAAACCACAAACTGTGACTCACTCTGACAGGACTCTTCACTCTTCACACACACAGTGATAAACTCCGGGAGCAGCTCTTCCTCCTGTTTCACGCTCTGCTCCTCTGCCTCCTCTTTAATCTGTCGACTCTCGGGGGTTTCCTCCTTCACTCTGGACTCAGAGCTGGACCAGGTCTGAACAGCTGCAGGAGACGAGGAGGAGTGAATACAGTATTGTCTTTAAACAGAAGTTAATGTACAAAATAGGGCCAAGGAATATATCTGTTAGCTGATATTATCAGTCAATATGTGCACTTGGAGACATATCGGTTCTCAGCCTAAATCTTGCTGATCTGGGCTGATATTCGATGTGGGCAGGTTAGATCTCGTTATAAAGCTCAGACTCTCTCTCTACATTCTGTTCTTTTAATCTAATTTACAGACAGATAAAGACAGATATGTCCTAATATGAGACGCCACATTAAGATTTATCAGAGGAGTAATTTGTTTGTGTGTGTGAAGTTGTACTGTCCCTGAACGCACCACCAGAGTCATGTCACTCATGTGTTCTTGTTTACTCGTGCACAGCCACAGATCCACGTGCACAACACTGACACAGACAGAGAACTGTCCCGCAGACACACACACACACACATACAGCTGCTGTCCACATGCTGGATTATTTTATTTTTACAGACGATCGTTTTAAGTCAGGATTAAAATGACACTTGTTAGTTCAGATTTGTGATGTGAGAGGAGCCTGTGTGAGGCTGAGTGTTGTAAATGTGTCGGTTTTGAAGATACTTTTGGTTCTTTCTTGTTGTTGATTTGCTGCTGCTCCACATAAACACTCTGTTTTCTGACACTGTTCTAGTGTAAAGTGTTTCTAGTGTCTGCACATGTGACTGGAGCTGCACTGATGTAAATGAGCTGTGAACAGACGTGTGAAAGATCCACGTTTACACATACATGGTAGAAAAAAGGGGTGGGGTTAAATAAGTATTTACTTCCTCCCACTCCTTTTTCGGACACAAGGAAAATCAGCGTAACTTTATTTATTTTTGCCTATTATTATAGAATAGAAATATTTACTTTTTGTGTTCTATCTATGTATTTACGTTTTTTATGTATGTTCTGTGTATTACCCTCCAAATAAACATTCATTCATAAAACTAATTACTGTGGCTCACACACGCATTTACGCATAGTTTTTACTTTGTTTACAGACCAGAATGTGATGCAAAAATGCCATTAGTCCGACGTACTGTTTTTAAATATGATGTAAAGAGGCAGAATAACAATAAATGTCGCCTAAACAAACACAATTTAAAATCCATTAGAGCCAGATTTAAGTTTTATAATCAGCTGAAGATTTATAGTGAATTTTTACATCACTAAATAAATTGGCTTTTATGTCGGCTCCTCCAACTCACATTTTATCGGCCGCAAAGAAATTCATATCGGTCAGGCCCTGGTACAAAAAAAAACACAAAATAAACGTTTCTGAGTGTTGTGTGTGTGACTCACTCTGACAGGACTCTTCACTCTTCACACACACAGTGATAAACTCCGGGAGCAGCTCTTCCTCCTGTTTCACGCTCTGCTCCTCTGCCTCCTCTTTAATCTGTCGACTCTTGGGGGTTTCCTCCGTCGCTCTGGACTCAGAGCTGGACCAGGTCTGAACAGCTGCAGGAGAGAAAGAGGAGAAGAGGTGGTTCATAAAGGGAATAAATCTGTGTGTTTAAAACAGGTTTAATGAGCCATGAGACGTTTCCTCACGCTTAGACACTCAACAGGACAAACTAAAGATTTCAAATTGGCTTTATCATTTTATCATGGTAGAAATAAAAGTCTCAAATAAAAGACTCAAACGCTGCTCGTCTGATTTACATGAGGAACCAAACCTCCAGAGCCTTGACCTCCAGTGTGATCGAGACTCACTCTGACAGGACTCTTCGCTCTTCACACACACGGCGGTGAACTCCGGGAGCGGCTCTTCCTCCTGTTTCACGCTCAGCTCCTCTGCCTCCTCTTTAATCTGTCGACTCTCGGGGGTTTCCTCCTTCACTCTGGACTCAGACCTGGACCGCTCCATCTGAACAGCTGCAGGAGACGAGAAGGGGTGCATGTGAACAGCTGCAGGAGAAGAGGAGGAGTCCATCTGAACAGCTGCAGGAGATGAGGAGGAGTACATCTGAACAGCTGCAGGAGATGAGGAGGAGTACATCTGAACAGCTGCAGGAGATGAGGAGGAGTACATCTGAACAGCTGAAGGAGAGGAAGAGGAAACACAGAATTAAAGATCAAAACTGACTCTTTGAGCTTTAAGTCATGTTCTAATGTTCCTTCACAAAACCAGAGCTGGAATTGTGTTTTGTTTCATTCATGTTTGAGTAAATCTTTATTATGAGTCTGTTTACATCTCCAAAGCTCCAAACGCTCTGTTCCACCTTGTGATGTCACTAGGCAGTAGTTTTCAGGTGAACAGCTCCTTTTACTTTTAGTTCAGTTTGTGTTTGTGTTTCCAAATAAAAATAAAAACAGCGTCTTTAACTCTCGTCTCAAACCAGCTCTTTTCTCACAGAGAAAAACAGAACATGTGCAGAAGCTTTCTCTGTTTGTGGAGATCCAGACTGGGATTTCAGAGACAAAGACTAAAAAATTAAATCATTGTTCAGTGTTTAAGTCCCCTCCGGCTCTGTCCTCACGCGACGTTTGGAGCTTTGAGATGCAGATGAAGCCACAGACCAGAACTCAGAACACAGGACACACAATCTGGGTGTCAGTTGTTTTTCAAAATAAAACCAAAAATAAGAAAACGCCCTAACCCTAACAACTATTTTTTTCATTATTTGTAAAATATTTTTTTTTACATATATTTTACTTTTTTTTTAAAAAACATATTTTCATTTTATTTTTTTAATTAAAAAAATATATATTTTATTACATTATTTGATTACATATTACTTTTTTATTAATTTTTTTAAACATATTTTATGACATTATTTTGTTACAAATTACATTTTTTAAACATTTTTTTTTTTACATATGTTTTAATATTTTTGATAAAATATTTGTACAATATTTGTAAAATATTTGCAAAAATTTTCATTATTTTCTGTCATTATTTGTCTATTAAAAAAACACAGATAATGTTTAGTTCTTTCAGTTCAGACTGAGGTCCTGTGTTGTTCTCTCGTCTGTGTTGGTTCTTGTGAAGTGTCTGTTTAGTTTCTCCAGTGTCACTTCAGTCTTCACATTGTTTTGTTTGTGTCTCAGTGTTTTGTTCTTTGGGTTGAACCAGTTTCTGTCTTAAAGTGTTTGTAGGTTTGAAATAGTCCGGGATTTCATGTTGTCTGAAAATCCTCTGTAGTTTTTCAGAAACACCAGTCATGTACGGAACAGTTCCTCCTTTCTCCTGGTTCTGATTCTCTGTTGTCCTGTTTTTTAGTTCTCTTGGTTTTGCTGAAGGCCCATGTTGGATCTGCACACTGACTTTGTATTTAAATGAAAAATGGAAAAAAATGAAAAAAATGGATAACAGGACTGAACCAGGACTAAACCAGGTCTAAAACAGGACTAAAAACAGGACTAAACCAGAACTAAAACAGGACTAAGACTGGATTAAAACCAGGACTGAACCAGCACTAAATTAGGACTAAACCAGGACTAAAATTGGACTAAAACCAGGACTAAGGTCTAAGCGAAAGGCACTATATGGTATTTATTTATTTATTATTATTATTAACCATTGAAGCCAGTGACTAATAATAATAATAATCTCAGAAACTAATAATGATCGAGACAAAAAACTGAACCAAATGATCCACAATGTTCAAATTATTTTTGATGTTATTAAAGAAAAACTGACGTTTCAGTTCAGATTTAAGGCCACAGACACTAAACTAAACAGTAAACATCGAAATTTCACATGGAATTTTACTTCGGCAAGAGTAAAAAAAATGATACTAGTTACAGATTGATTTTTACAATTTTTTTTAAAAAGCTGGGCAAATGATTCTCCCTGATCCTGACTCAAGTTCGTGATGAATGTTCCGAGTGCAGAACAGTTTTCCTTCATCACAAACTCGTTTTACTATTTTATTATCACAAACCACCAAAAAACCGGAGATGTCCCAGATTTTTATTTTGAAAATCTGGTAACTCTGAACAAAAAAACAGCTCCAGGTGAATTTGTGACGAGGAAACTGCCTCAGAAACACAGAATCAGAGTCAGATTTGTTCTTTAAAACCCAGGAGAAAACGCGCCGCTGATTCTTTGCGCGCGGAGACAAAAACACGAAAAGTAAAAAGTCTCCTGAAACGCTCCTGAACAAAATAAACTGAAAACAAACGGAATCCTGAAGCCCACACGCGTAAAAACACCCGTAAACCCGCGCGTAAAGACGCATGACGCACGTACCCGGCTCCTTTTCGAGATCCGGCTCCTCGTCGAGATCCGGCTCCTCGTTCGCGTTCACTGAGCTCTGCCTTTGTGCCTTTGCGCCGCGCACCGGAGTCCCACCCGCATCCTGCAGCCCCCGTGTCACGTGCTCGCGGTCACGTGACACGGCTCCATGTGTTTCCGCTTTGGCAGAGCTCGTGCACACAGCGCCCCCTCGTGACGGCGCGCGGGAAATGAACTGCACAAACAACTTTTTATTTATTAAATAAATAAACCACTAAACCAGGACTAAACCAGGACTAAAACAGGACTAAACCAGGACTAAACCAGGACTAAAACAGGACTAAACCAGGACTAAACCAAGACTAAACCAGGACTAAACCAGAACTAAAACAGAACTAAACCAGGACTAAAACAGGACTAAACCAGGACTAAACCAGGACTAAAACAGGACTAAACAGGACTAAAACAGGACTAAAACAGGACTAAACCAGAACTAAACCAGGACTAAACCAGGACTAAAACAGGTTTAAAACAGGGCTTTTCATTTTCTTTTATCAGACAAAACTTCTTATGTTCAGATCCTCGTCTTTGCTTCTCTACAGAAAACCCAGTAATCCAAAGTATTCAGATTACATTACTCACTTTAAGTAATTTAATGGATTATGTTACAAACTACATTTTAGGGTGTGTAATCTGTAATCTGTAGGGGATTACATTTTAAAAGTGACCTCCCAACATTGAAAACTCACAGTTATGATAAAAGTGAGTGTTGAGCAGCTGGAGCAGAGCATCTGTCAACACAAACTCACAAATATGAAAGGCACTTCTCTTTATATTCTGTATAATATTCATGATTAAACCTGACTACAGTGAGTTTAGACATTTCAAACCTCCTCAGAAAAGTCTCCAGTGAAAAAGCAGGTTCACTCTAAAAATCCTCTGAAGTGAACTGGATTTCCGTCTGTAACAGAAGCTCTGTACAGATAGTGTCTGGTATCAGTACTCAGTGTGGGAAAGTACTCCAAATGAAGTAGTGCTTTTAGAGGAAGTGGTATCGGTGCAGAGTCCAGGCCTCATTAAAGCTGTGGAGGTTCAGTCAAACCTCCGTCAGATCCAACATTGTGAGTGATTGACTTGATGGTCGTGTGTCTGTGCTCCTCCGCTCTGTGTCAGCTTCAGTTTGACCCTCAGGGAAAAAGAGACGCTGATTTAGAGTGAACAAAAACTGCCCCAGTCACAAAGGACGCAGACCCTTCAGCTGTTCACTTTGCTTTACAACTCACACTTCATCTTAATGCAGGTTTGTTCTTTTCTGCACTGAATCCTTCTCTTCATCTGTTCTCATGTTTTACTCTGAATTTCTGCGTTTCTTTTCTTTTTTGGGACTAAATAATGTTTTTTTTTTCACATTTTGTAAAGAGTAAATCTCTTTGTGCGTTTGGATTAAAACATGTTCATTAAAGACACAGTGTGGTTTATTTTGAACTCTTTACTTCTAAACCCAGAAGCAGTCACATGACCTCGATGACAAACAGACTAAAGACAGTAAAGGTGTAAAATGGAGCAACAGCGCCCCCTGCTGCTGCTGCTGTTCCTCTCAGGTGTGAGTGATTCATTCAGAGTAAAGAGGAAGTGCTGAGCCAGTGTTTGTCAGGGCGTCGGACACAGAGGACACAGCCGTGTGAGTCTGGACTCTTTGGTTCAAATGGAGAAGATCTCTGCAGTGGAGGACTTTCTGACCTGTCCTGTTTGTCTGGAGACCTTTAAAGAGCCAGTGTCTCTGGGCTGTCACCACAGCTTCTGCTCCGTCTGTCTACACAACTACTGGGACCAGAACAGCACCAGGACCTGCCCCGTGTGTCGCAGGAAGTCCTCAAAAGAACATCTAGATGTGAACTTTGCTCTGAAGGAACTGACTCTGTCCTTTACACAGAAGGAGCAGGCTCCAGGAGGAGAGAGGCCTGTGGTGTGCTCCTCACACCCAGAGCAGACGCCTCTGTTCTGCCTGGACGAGAGGCGCCCTCTGTGCCCTGTGTGTGAGTTCTCTCTTCACTCGGGGCATAAGGTGGTGTCTGTGGACTCAGCTGTGAGTGAAGTGAAGGAGCAGCTGCGCTCACAGCAGCAGTCTCTGTCCCAGAGGAGAGAGCAGGCCTCACACGCACACACTCAGTGTGAGCAAATACAGGAGCTGGCACACGCGCAGGTGGAGCTCTGTGAACGCCACATCAGGGCGGAGTTTGAGCGGTTACACCGGTTCCTCCAACAGGAGGAGGAGTCTGTGCTCAGAGCTCTGAGACAGGAGCAGAGCAGACAGGCCCAGGCCATAGAAGCACAGCTACAGCAGATCAGGGAGGAGCTGTGTACTATGGAGCAGAACCTCCAGACTGTGGAAGATCTACTGCAGAGACAGAGCGTGGACTTTCTCACACAGTACAGACACACTCACAAAGACACACAGACTCTGCTCTCACAGCACAGCCCACAGCTGGGACCAGGACTCCTGATAAACCAGGCCAAAGTCCTGGCCAACGTGGCCTTCAACGCCTGGAACAAGATGAGAGCCCTGGTGAGCTACAGTCCAGTCACTCTGGACCCAAACACTGCAGCCAGACGGATCCATCTGTCTGAGGATCTGAGGGGGGTGAGAGGTGGAGAATCTGATCAAGAGGTTCCTGAAAATCCAGAGAGATTCTGTAACTATGCCACTGTTCTGGGCAGTGAGGGCTTCAGCTCTGGCTCTCACCAGTGGGACGTGGAGGTGGGAGATCATCCGAGATGGACCATTGGTTTGGTCAAAGAATCTGTCGACAGGAAGGGAGAGAGATCTATCACTCTGGAAAATGGACTCTGGTGTTTGAGTCTTTACATGGGAAATTACGTTGCTTTTGGTAAAAAACTGTCCCTGAAGAGGAGACCTCAGAGGATCCGAGTTCGACTGGACTGTGATGAAGGGAAAGTGTTTTTCTTTGACGCTGGTGACATGTCTCTGATCTGCTCTCACAAACACAGATTCACAGAGAAAATGTTTCCTTATTTCTATGTTGGTGAATCTGGTGACGCTAAAACCAAAGAAATTAAAATATTTTCCAGTGAAGCTCAGTAAACATTTATAAACTTTTATTTAAAAAATGTATTTAATATTGTTGTGATTTTATTTTTTTTATAAAATTACTATGTATACGATAATTTTACAACTGTTTA